ATTACTATAGCTGAGCATTTTACCATACTAGGGTCTCCTTTCATACTTTTTCTGCAAATTAATATTTGCCTGCTTTTTAAATTTGCTTAATATTCTTTAACTCTATTGCTAACTTTTCTCACTCTTTCTAATAGCCTCTCAACATACTTTTCCACAAGATAATCACATCAGATGATTCACTCATTCCTTTTTTTTTTTTTTTTTTTTTTTGGTGACATTCTGCTGTTAGAATTTCTTTCTCCCTCTGCCTGGCTTGTGTGCGAAGCCTGTTACCCAGTTGTCCTCCTGGGACTTCCCTTTGCTCTCATCCTTGGAATCCCACTGCATTTCCCTACAGTTGGATCTACTGCTGCCTGGATCTCCTGCCTTCCTCTTTCTGGGTTTACCTACTTATTTTGGCCAAGCACATCCATCGCCAATCCTTTAAAGAGATAACACAGTCCCACAGAAATCTCGATTACAGATATTTCTATCGCCCATCCCCTGATCCTCATCTCCCCTTGGAGTAAAACAGTTGGGATCCCCTTAGGTCCCTGGGTGTGAAACAACATTCCCAAGCCGGCAGGAAGCAGGTGGTGAGGTCACACCGGTGGAGGACTCAGGGGTGTACTCCTCCTCCACCGCGTCCCATTCCACCCTCCCCAGAAGGGCGCCTCTGCTGAGCTGGGTGACAGCCCAGTGGGCTTCAGAGGAAGTCGTAGCTCTCGGTGAGGCAACTGACTGAAGACCCCAGGGAAGAGCACGGGCTACCCAGGGAATGAAGACACACCTTGCTGGGCCCCTCCCACCTTGGCTGAGGAGTGTCCTTGCTCACTTTTCTCCTACCCTGCCTAGACCCGCATTTCTAGGTCTGGGGAGCTGACATCCTCAGGAGAACAAATCCCATGAGACCTGCCCAGCCGGCTGCGAGTCCAAGGGGCCCAGGTTTACGAGGAAGAGGAATTGGGGACATAGTTTGTTCAAAGTCCCACTGCCTAATCCCGTGGGGGAGGAGAACCAGGCCAGAGGAAAAATCTCAAGCCACTTCCCGCACAGGCTGAGGTTGAGCTTACACATGATTCCTCTAAAGCAGCGGTTCTCAACCTGTGGGTCACGGCCCCTTTGGGGGTCGAACGACTCTTTCACAGGGGTCGCCTAAGACCATCGGAAAACACATATATAATTACATATTGTTTTTGTGATTAATCACTATGCTTTAATTATGTTCCATTTGTAACAATGAAAATACATCCTGCATATCAGATATTTACATGACGATTCATAACAGTAGCAAAATTACAGTTATGAAGTAGCAACGAAAATAACTTTATGGTTGGGGGTCACCACAACATGAGGAACTGTATTAAAGGGTCGAGGCATTAGGAAGGTTGAGAACCACTGCTCTAAAGGGACAGCTTGTCTTTGAGCTGGAATCCGGAGGGGGGGGGTGGTTAGAGACAGTAGAGATTGAGGGAGAACTGGGGCCCTTCCCTGCCTCACTCTGCCCCAGACCTCAGCCACGAGCAACGTTTCCCACCAGTTGGGAAACACACACTGTGAGGTGGAGTGAATTCCTTCACCCTGCCAGCATAAGCTACAGCTTTAAGAATGTCTGCTTTAGCCTGAAGGGTCTGGCCAGACACCCAGACGCTTCAAAGCTTTTAAGTTTGTTTGTGAAATATTTTCATATTTGTTTAAGATGGTATAAGGCAGAGGGCACGGCGATGACAACCCTCAACATGCTTGGCTCTTGAGTCACGCTGTTCCAATCGGGATGGTTGCTTTAAGGCAGTTGTCACCCGTCATTTCCCTTCACCTCCTCCCAGAAGTTCCTGCGCCCCCCCCATCCCCCTCTCGTGGGCCAGGTCTCAGCTTTCTCTGTTTCCTGTCATCTTCTTTGATAGTTTACGCCTTTTTGATGGAGTGCATCCTCCAGGGGGCTTCCCGATAGGTTAAAAGAGAGATTAACCAAAGAACTTATAAGTATATATGCATAGTCCATGGACTCAGACAACAGACAGGTGCGGGCCTGGCGGGGGTGATGGGTGGAGGGGGGCAGAGGGGAGAAAATGGGGGACATCTGTAATACTCTCAACAATAAAATAAATTTAAAAAAAGAGAGAGACTGAGTCCTTATCCTTGAATGTTTAAAAAGTATTTTCTCTTCACGCTTGATTTCTATTTTGTTTGTTTTTGGTGAAAAATAATATTTCTTCAAAAATTTGGAGGCATTTTTTAATTTAATTTTTTCTATCACCATTTATTCCCTCTATGCAGTCTTCTACCTCCACCCATCTCCCTCCACCCCCAAAATCACTATTGTCCATGTCCATGAGTTCTCTCTTTTTTTTTACTCAATCCTGCCACCCCCTCCCTACCTCCCATCCCCCTCACCACCACCCCGCC